TTAAACAGACCTGATGACGTCCCAACGTGTCAATTGATAGGTTCCTACGTGAACAAGAGACCGAAGTCCCCCTTCTGGAGTTGTATCCTACATGCTTGGCACAAGCTCTTTCGTAGAGAGAGAGACCAACCCGCCTCAAGAGAATTTGTACTGAATCAGATCCTCTTCGAGAATCCTCCCATTCGAGACTGTAATGGTGACTGTTCTTCAGCACATGACTCACCCGGGCACTTTGCAATGGCCTGGGTACAGAAGGGAGTAGTATGTGATAAGGTCAGACCCGTACCACGCGGCTTGCCGTATCCCTTAGGAAAAATCCCGCGGAAGCCCCGAAGTACGGACGCGGGCAGAAAGGCGTTTTTCTTTCTTTTTGCTTTTGTTTTCTTCTTGAAGCGGCCTTTTCATTTTGTTTGGTTAATAATTCCCGAGCGGGCGAATAGCGGCCGCGGTATGAAAACCAAGAAACGGGTGCGGTTGGGACTTTTTGAATTTTTGCACGCGCATGCCTAAGCTCCGATTTCTTCGCGCGTCTCACACCCCCGTTTCTTGCTTTGCATCCCCGCGCCATCTTTCTTTCTTGCTGCGCTCGCTTCCCTCAGGCCGGACTCTTCGTCTTCCCCTACGCCCAGCTTGATCCTTACCCCATCTTCCTCCGCCAAGTGATTGGCTGCGTAGTTGGGATGCTCCGATCAAGGTGGAGAGCGGGAAACCGCGCCCTTGAACGAACACCCCAATCATGTAGGACCATGCAACCCCGCGGGTCGAACCCTCGAGCTCCCCACCGTTCTTCTGTCCTGCTCATCTACACCCTGTGCTGCCCACACCTCACGCTAACAACCCGCCGCCTCCCGCGCTATAAATTCGCGCAACCCTCTCTTCTCCCTCTCTTTGATCTCGGCTGCAATGCTGCGCGAGCGATGCGCGAAAGTCCGCAGCGCCGAACAGGCTCGACGAGCCCAAGGACGGGCGGAGTGACGACGTGGGGTGGACCCGTGGTAGTCTCGGGGCGAAGCAGTCAGAGGGACTGAGCAGTGGTAGGGATTGGACGCCGGCCGCGGCAGGGCCTTGTGGCTATGGTGGTCGGTGGTCTTGGGAGGTTTGAAGGTTGCGCCTGGGGGCGGCAGTTAGTTCAAATTTTTGTGTACAAGGAGGACTCGCTTTTATCTCCATTGCTGCTTTGTCTATGCATGTCGTGTGTGTGAAGCCCCGAGTGATGGGAGCTGGTTGTGCGCATGAGTGATGTCGAAGGTATATGGATGATTAGATGTCTTGTCAAAGGTTGTTGATTGCATGCATGTATGTGTGCGCGTACTTATCCGGGCGGGGATGGGGGAACGAAACTGGAGGACCGTCTGCTTAGGAGTATGAGTGTGTTGATCCTGTTGTTCCCCTCCCCTCCTCGGCCTTTCCTGCGCGCACGCGCAGTCTCGGTGTAACTCACTCTCTCTCTCTCTCTCTATCGCCTTTCTTTTTGAACTGATAGTCATCGCTTTTGGAACTTCTCGTCCCTGCACCGGTGACGCCAACCGCTTGCGTCCGCGCGCGCAGTGGACGCCCCCGCAAGGGGAAACGCTTAGATTTTGTCATCTTCCACCGACGCACCCACTTTTGAGAGAAGAGAGTTGCGTCGAGTGTTGTATGGAGTCGGTGTTGGCTCGGATGACCGGGCGCGCGGGATCTTGCCCGTGTTCATCGCGTACCTCCGATCGTCTCATCTCGCTACCGACCTTCCCCATCGCAGATGACGACAATGTCTACTGCGATGCAGATGTACAGCGCTCGCTGAGGCAGACGGAGCAAGTGTGTTGGCAAGACCTGCCTCGGGCTTGTGATATAAGGGGGAACGGGTTTGTCTTGATTGATCGTTTTGATTCCCCGACTCTAATATTGCCCTATACGGGATTAACGGTGTTGCCCTGGTCGGCCGCTCACGCCACGTGGCGGCTGCGGTTTGATTGTCACTGGTGTCGCCAGGGGGGCTCGTGTTCTTGGCGGCGCTTGGTCCTGGGTTACGAGGGAGCGACACGTTCCCCCGAGCTCTCCCGTAATGCGGGGGCGCTGCCCGCGCAATTTCAAATTCGGATGCCGGCGAGTCCTCCCGCCGTTTCACCCTCTCGGAAACTTCCGCGCGGACTTTGCGAGTCCGACGCCGAGGCTTGAAGACCTCGAACCAACCATCTCTACAGCGAAAACCCGATGGTCCGGTCACTTCGTGTGGCTGATGCCGAGGCCGGAAGGCTTCGAACCCACCACCTATCCCCCAACCCATGACGGCCGGAGTTTCTGTTTTCCGCCGCCATGACCCTCTCCCCTTGATGCCTTTTTTTTCGTCCTAAGGCACGACGAAAATTCCTTTTTGCGAAAACCCTTCTGATTTTGTCATTTCGGAGTGATCCGACCCCCACGGGACTTCGCGGCGACAGTTCGACTCCAGGGTAACCTCTGGCACGAAATGAGAGCCTCCCGTTCCGTCCGGGAGACTCAACCCCTACGACCAAAAATCCTTGGGCACGCCCCTCCTAGAACTCTGATCGGTGACCGAGTACGGGAAGCAGTGAGGGGGCGTGAGGTTGGTATCAAAGCTGATTCGTTTCGGCTCCGAGGTTTTCCTAGGACAATTACCCTGTTTAAGAGTTTTTTCCTTTTTGATTTTTTTATTTGATTTTTCGCATTTTTGAGTAGGTTGGCTCCCTGTCAACGACGGCCCGCTAATAACAATCAGAACCGAGCGAGGGGCCAGGCTCGAGGTCCGCCTCCCACGATGGTTGAACCCGGAATTGGGGGAGGAAACGACGACGATAACCACTCGGGGATGACCAATCATCCCCTGTATTTTGTACCTCCTCCCTCCGAGGTTCCCATTTTTTTTTAGGATGATACCGATCCCCGCACCTGGCTAGCTGCCTTGAAAGCCCAGGGCTGGTCGGACCAGTTGCTCCGAGAACGAATTCCCAGAAGGTTAGCCGGAACCGCTTTTGAGTGGTATGGACAGAACCCTTTCACTAATTGGTTAGCCTTCTTGAGGAAATTTCTCGACAGATTTGATCACATCGCACCAGGTCAATGCCTCTGTCTAATAAAGGAATATACGCAGCAGCCTCGGGAGACCTTGGCTAGATATGCTGAATGGTTTACGTACCTAGCCGAACGCTCCGGGGTGGACGAGAAAATGGTACAGACTGATTTCGTCAGAGGATTATCGGATTCTCGCCTGCGGAAAAAGATCTGCAAGAAATGCAACCCTATAGAACATACCCTGACGGAACTAATTCAGTACGCAATTAAGTACGGGAAAAAGAATTACGATGTGGGTCTGGACTCCGAATCCGACGAAGACGACCCTTCAGGTGTTCGACGCAATAGCTACTCCGCTACGGCACGAATGTTCGAAGATCGCTTCGGGTTGGGTCCGGCAAAAAAAAGCTCGGATCGGAAAGCTTCTTCCTTTGCTTCGACCTCCCGTCGCTCTAGTCAAGCACAAGGAGGCCGGGGAGGAAGAAGTGTCCATGAAAGAGGTCGCGGCCCAATTAGTTACGGTAGTGGCCCCGTTGACGGAGTTCGTTCAGGGCCTGCAGCGGCAACGCATAGCCGCTACACAACGGCAACAAGCGGCTATAGCCGCCGGGGCCCCTATGATAAGACCGGCCGTGGCCGGGGCTGTCCCGCGCCTACGCTGTTATAACTGTAATCAGCCAGGCCACCTTGCGAAAGGTTGTCCGAAACCTCGAACTCAGGGTGGGCCCGCTGGGCCCACTGGACCTTCCCAAATCCCACTGGCTGCTGAAACCGCTGCAGGACAGGGGAGGGTAGCCACGGTAATGGACACAGGAACGACGGAGATGGTGACCCCTACGGCCATTGAGATAGGACCCGATGAGTATATGGCGGCAGCGATGTTCGAACCCGGGACCATCGGAGTGATACATCACGTCCAACGGATTACCGAGGAAAGCGACCTCAGGCCGTGGCGACCAGGGTTCGAAGATCTTGTGGCTCCTGGTCCTGAATACAAGGATGGCCATATCGACGTACTGGATGCCTTGAAGGCTCTGGATCTACGGATCCCCGTTCCTATTAGAGCAACACGGGCCCAGCACAGAGATAAGGCCCGCCATTACATGGACTTAACGGCTAGGGCCTATCCCCCGTTAGCCCGCCGGCGAAAGCGGGCCGTAGATCGGACGCATCAACGGCAGATCCGCGACTACAAGAACCGACATGCGTCCGCGGGACCACTGCCCCGCTATAAAATTGGGGACTTGGTGCAGGTACGGAAATCCGCACGCTCCTCCAAGATCCACCCGTGCTACACAGGCATTTACGAGGTGACGGCAGTTGGCGCACGAGGCCAGCACTCCGTGAAGCTGGTTCCCAGGCACAACTCGCAAGGCCGCCCGCTGACGAGGCACGCTGCTGCTCTCCGACCTTTTTGGCCATCGCTGGATCTCGTGCGGCCACCTGTCCTGCCCGAATCATCTTCTTCGTCCCTCTCTCGTGCTCCTTTGTCCTCACCTCCTTCTTCCCCTTCTCTCCGATCGGCGTCATCGGCATCCGCGGAAGACCTTGCCTCGCAGGATGAACCATCGCCAACAGGAGCATGAACTGGTCAAGCACTTCCAGCCGCCCATCTCGGACGCTCTTCTCCGGAACCGGTTCAACGAGGATCGGTAGCTGTACTTCGACATTCAGCAAGTGAATGTGTCGGCACCCAGCGTTGCTGACTTGGCGGTTTACTCGCTCCTCGCGCAGCGTGTGACGTACGCGGACGTCTATGTGGACATTTCGCCAGTGCCTGGTCAGGAATCCACGCGAGTGTTCATCGAGTTCTGAGCCATCTAGGTGGCTACGAACTTCGTGCACATCATCGCTACTTTCACCGGGGATTTAACCGTCTTGCCCGGGCACGATCGGGAGCCGGCGTACATGTTCTTGCGCGACTACACCCTCCAGGTGGCTAGATCAGTGGCGCGAGTGCAGGCGAGGGGCACCCATCGCTTCACCGCATACAAAGGACTTCTGCGGCAGACTCCGGAGGTAGCACTTGCATTGGTGCCACAGCTTCCCGCGCTCCTTCCTCCCGCCGAGCCCCTCAACATTCAAGCTGTCCCTCTTCCTTCTCTCTAAATGCCTCCCTTCTTCTCTTACACTACCCTCCCTTACCAACTGACACAACTCCCCTATCCTATGCGCAACTTCCCCGAGTACCTGGTGGAGCTGACAGACGTGGAGCAGTTGCCGCCCGCTGACGAGGACGCGTGGGAGCTGCATCGGGCACTGTATTCATCGGTGGTGCTGTGCATGTTTACATTCTTCGTAGAGCATGAAGTTCATAACGTCGGCGAGTTCCTGTATCTATACTACGTAATCGCCAAGCCGAAGCTGGAGCGGAAGGAGGGAACCGTGGCGCTTTACCCTTTCGGGAGGATGGGAACGAATCGCCCGGGGCTCTTGCAGCTCAGTCACATCGAGCTGCTGTCCATTGCGCAGGTTATTGCCGCAGAAGAAGAAGACTTGCAGCTCAGACTGCGCACCGCTTCAGCCCCGTGCAAAGCGTATAACGAGGCGATGATACGTGACTACCTGGCACGTGAGGAGGAGTTCGTGGTGGACTTCGGGCGCGAAGACAAGCCGCTGCGGCCTCCATCATCGTATCCAAAGCCGGCGGCCCTGAAGGCACCGAGAAAGAGAACCGTCCCGAAGCGGCGACGAAGTCCATCGCCGGAAGCTCAGGCCAGTCGGGTGGGGCCTGTCGAGGAGGTTGTCCAGCCTGCGCCGGTGCGCGGAATCGATCCGGTTCGCGAGAGAAGAGCCACCCTCATCATCGCACCCCGACTGGGGGAGGACTGCCCTGCCGAAGAACCGCGGAGATCCACAAGCCATCGGGAGTCGACACCTCAGCGGCCCCGCCTCCCCGACCTCAATAGCCATGCAGCCAGGCCATCAGGCGGAGGGGGGGGATTGGGACGAGTTCCATATCCCGCATCCAGACCCCCCCTCCTTGTAGGACCGTTCCGATTTCGCCAGCCCGCCCGGGATACCCCGGTCATTGATATTAGCAGTTCCCCCGAGCCGGACGGTCCATCAAACCGACGTGGATCACATGGTGGAACTGGCCACCATCCGGCTTGAGGCCATCGAGGGGGCGCCGCGCCCTGATCCGGCATGGGAGGCGTTCTTGCAGCCTCCATTCGACGGATGTATAGCGACGAGGTTGGTGGGCACGCTCATCTACGAGACCGGCGGGCGGCCCAACATTATGTACCATATCCTGGTCTTCGCGGTGGTTAAGCGGGAGCGAAGGCCGTACACGGAGACCCACCTGGTGCTGACGGGTCCGAGAAATCGGCCGCTGCGACGACGAATCAGTCGGGCGATCGCTGATCTCGCGCCACGAGTCCTCTCGCATGTGTCGAGGGCTTTCCTTTACCCCTCCTTTGTCCAGCACCACTTCAATGAAGTGGAAGTGCCAGCCAACCTGGACGCGCTCGCGGTGTTTCTCCCTCCTCTTCCTCCCCCTCTCAATCCGGAGATTGATTACTTCCTATGATCATCTCCACCACTACCTCTTTCTTTTTCTTCTTCTTTTCCGGATCTAAAGCTCGNCTTTCTTTTTCTTCTTCTTTTCCGGATCTAAAGCTCGCGCGATGAGACGCGTTGTGGAAAAAAAAAAAAAAAAAAAAAAAAAAAAAAAAAAAAAAAAAAAAAGTAATATTTTCTTTTTACTTACCGATCGGGCCAGCTGACGATGAAGGGGATGCCCGATCGGATGTATACTATGGGAGGAGGCGATGGAGGATGCAGGATGCATCCACGTAGATTAGGAAGATGATTGGGCCAGCTGACGATGAAGAGGCCGCCCCATCATCCAAGATATGATGACATCAGCAGTCGGGAGACTGCTAATTCTTCGGAACCCCCTGCGTATCACAGATGTGATAAGCTCAGACCTGTACCACGCGGCTTGCCGTATCCCTGAGGAAAAATCCCGCGGAAGCCCCGAAGTACGGACGCAGACAGAAACCGGTTTTTCTTTCTTTTTGCTTTTGTTTTCTTTTTGAAGCGGCTTTTTCATTTTGTTTGGTTAATAACTCCCGCGCGGGTGAATAGCGGCCGCGGTATGAAAACCAAGAAACGGGTGCGGTTGGGACTTTTTGAATTTTTGCGCGCGCACGCCTAAGCTCCGATTTCTTCGCGCATCTCGCACCCCCGTTTCTTGCTTTGCATCCCCACACCATCTTCCTTTCTTGCTGCGCGCGCTTCCCTCGGGCCAGACTCTTCGTCTTCCCCTACGCCCAGCTTGATCCTTACCCCGTCTTCCTCCGCGAAGTGATTGGCTGCGTAGTTGGGATGCTCGGATCAAGGTGGAGAGCGGGAAACCGTGCCCTTGAACGAACACCCCAATCACGTAGGACCATGCAACCCTGCGGGTCGAACCCTCGAGCTCCCCACCGTTCTTCTGTCCCTGTCTCTTATACACATCTAGATGTGTATAAGAGACAGCCATTGAACAGGTAATCGCCGCAGAAGAAGAAGACTTGCAGCTCAGACTGCAGACCGCCTCAGCCCCGTGTAGAGCGTATAACGAGGCGGTGATACCTGACTACCTGGCGCG